CCGTCAATTCTGCATTCGTCGATGTAGGCTCGTCTCCGGCGGCTGTCGTAGAGTCCGTGACTTTGGTTGACACGGTGCCCAGGTGTGCAAAGCCATGGTGCACAGGTGTGCACAGCCCAAGCGTCTTTGGTGGAGTCAGTCTGGTGGGTGCCGTCGGTGTGCAGGAGGGTTCCCCTGATCACTCCGTGGGTTCTTGGCGGGGCAAACTCCAATGCCACGACGGCTGCTGGGCTGAACCGCGCTGGTTCTTGTAAGTCGGGGAGGTCGGCGGTGTGGTGGGGCGGGGAGGTGCGCCTGAGGACGTCGGCGGTCGGCTCGGTCACTGCGAATGTGGACCTGACCGCTTTTTCCGCTGGACGCCTCGCAGTGTGGTCTCCCGCTGGGTGGCCCTCTCTCACGGAGCAGGGTTTCTCGTCGGTTGACGCCCGTCGTTCGTGGATGTTGCTGTTGACCGCCTCGATGGCAGGCCCTTCCGCTCAGCGATGCGATGTGCTGCCCTCGTCGTTGCAGGGACCCTCTTCCACATCTACAGGGTAAGGGTCGCGGGGCAGCCGAGGTGGATGTAGGCATCCCACATCCTGCTTCAACCCTATGTCGCCGGGTCCCAGTTGCGTTCTTTCCCTCGACTGTGCTGGTGTCGTGGTGCACTGCGGCACTGTTGAAAAATGGCAGCGGCGTTGGCCGTCGTGCGTTCCTTGCGTCGTCCGTCGCCCAACTGCCCCGAGTGCGGGGCGTGCTTGGCTCTGCATGCCGGCGGGACGGCGCCGTGGCAGGCCCCCGTCGTTGGTTAGGGCCTCTTGGCTTGCCAATCTGAACGACGTCCTCCGACTGTTGGTGGAGGTCGCTAGCGTCCTGTTGCGGTGGGTCTAGCCGGTCTGGGTGCGTGGTAGGTGGTGGCTTAGTGGGCCCTGGAAACGACAGGGCCGTTTTTTTACCGGTTCCGTTTTGCCGTTTTTTTTGCCGGTTCCGACGCTGTTTTTTTACCGGTTCCGTCGCCGTTTTTTGACCAGTTCCGTCGCCGTTTTTTTGCCGTTTCCATTTTCAATGGACATTTTTTTGGAAACGGTAAAAAACGGCCCTGCCGTTTCCTGGGCCCACAAAGGGTGGTGGTGCGCCAGACTCACCACGTGCGGCGTCGTCCCGATGCGGTCCAGCGCCGCTGTGTGACTGTCAGTAGGAGTCCGTTGGGTCCCCAGCAGCTTCGGCTTCGTCCGTCGTAACCGTGTCGGTGGGGGTGTCGGCCTCAGGGGTCACAGCGACGATGACGTGGGGCTCGTTGGGGTCGATGGTGGCCCTCTTGGTTCTTCGTGCGTTTGATCTTCGAGTTGTCGGCGCTGGATGTTTCCGTGATGGTGGCGCCGATGATCCTCTCCCAGGCGTGCCAATGAAGTGTTTGAATGGGTTTACCGCTTGTGGCGTCATCTGCTCCGTCGGGATGATGTCATCCTCCCTTTCTTCGTGGGTGACGGCGTGTCGGTGTCGATGGTAACAGGCGCATGGATGGACGGTGGGCGTGGTTGGCCTGGCGGCATGGATCCCGGTGTCCAAGCTGGTGGCGCTGGCGATGCAGCCTCTTCGCTCCGTTGTGTTTCTTCTGGTGGCGTAGTCGCACCTCTCTGCGTCCTTGGCGGCGTGAACATGTGGTACTGTCCCTGATCAGGTTCAATTGGTTGCGATACGAGTGCTGCGTGGACTCTTCGGTTTCTCGGAGCATCTCGTCGAACTGAGTCTGAGTGCCTTGAGTTTCTCCATCCTCCAGAGGATGTTCAAGTTGTGGTACGGTTGGGGATACAGTGGTAGCCGCGGTTGCGAAGTCTTCGTTGTCAGTGCCAATAGGTTTGCTGAGGGCGTCGTTGATGGCGTCGACCATCTCGACGCTGTTGAGGCGCTGCTGGGCGATGAGTGCCGCCTGTCGGGCGTGCTGAAACTTCTCTGTGGCTTCTTCCGTCCTCCTCTCGTGGGTCTCTTTGACGACTATCCACTGAGTTTCCCTGTGGCGGTACGCGTGTTTCTCGTGTTGGAAAGCCTCGTTTTGTTCTCCTGTACCCATCTCAGCTCGCTGTCTTGTGAGCTGAAGATGTCTTTCAGCTTGTAAAGCTTTGTAGTTAACTTGCTGCTCGTAGTCGTGCATGTCGGTGATGATACTCTGAAGGTACCCTTCTTGCTGCTTCGCCTTCTCAGCGTCCCTTTTACGCATGTGGCGCTCGATGCTGGCGATGTTCTGCTGGTATTCCTCGTTTGTCATGGAGGTGGTGGCCTCCGTGCGCATGTTTTGCTCCAGTAGCTCTTCCTTCGCTTGACGGTTTCATTTCTTATGCATCGCTCCGTTTTTGGTACAGGGTTTTGTTGTCATTCTGGTATTGGATCCTGGCTCCGGATGCCTTGGTTTCGCTGTTGGCGATGTGGCCCTCGGCTTCGAGGGTCATGCTGTAGTACGTTTGTCTTTCTCCTGCGATCCTCTCTGCGCCCCGAAAACTCTCCATGTTGGTCTTGGTATGCTCGTAATAGTCCTCCATGGTTTTTCTTGAAACTGCCGATCTCCCTCGCCTGTTGGACCAGGGTCATGCTTTTGAGGTCCATCGCTTTGATGAAGGCAATCTGCGTGACTTCGCCGGTCGTAGGTAGTCTTGCTGCGCTGTCCTCGATGGCAGCTCCGCTCGTCGCTCCTCCGCGTCTTTGATCTGATTCCCGTCGTCCCTCGGCTTGTGGTCGTTGGTGGGTACTGTAGCTCCCAGTCGTGCTTCCTAACGGCGTAGATTTTGCTCATGGACATGACGTTGTTGATCGTGCTGGCGATGGTCGTTGTAGTTGCTGTTGTAGTCCTGCCTCTCGTCTTTCTTCTTGGGCGTCTTTTCCTTGCCGAGATGGGTCTTGCTCTTTTCCTTGTTGTTTCTGTCCTTGCCCTTCTGGTTGTGGCTGGTGGGCTCTTGGTGGTCGTTTTCTTATGTTGCCGTCCTGGTGGTTGCCTTTTCCCGTTGCGGTTCTGGCTCCAGGTCTTGTCCGGGTGGTCGTTGGCCTATTGGTCCGTCCAGTTGTGGTTCTTCCAACGCTTGAGCCCTGCACCAATGGCTGGGGCAGCGGGCCTCGGTGTCGTAGCTCTGGATCGTGGTCGGCGCGTTGCCGATCTCCACGGTGCTGGCGCGGGTCCCGATCCAGTCGCGGTTGTTCGCCATGATGATGTCGCCACTGTTGGAGCACGAGGTGGGTGTCGAGGTGGTTGCTGGGCGCTGCTGTACTCTTGTAGTAGTTCCTGTGCAGCGGGAAGTTGGTGCTGCGTATGCTCATCAAGCAGTGAACGTGTGATGCCACTCGTAGTAGTAGTAGTAGTAGTAGTAGTAGTAGTAGTAGTAGTAGTAGTAATAGTAGTAGTAGTAGTAGTAGTAGTAGTAGTAATAGTAGTAGCAGTAGTAGTAGTAGCAGTAGTAGTAGTAGTAGTAGTAGTAGTAGTAATAGTAGTAGTAGACGTGACGGCTCGACGTTCACGCCCCCGACGGTGCCAAGCAGGGTTGGTTGAGGTAGCCGTGGCACTTGTTGTGGAAGTCGAGGATCACCTGTGGGAGCCTGAGATGAGGAGGTCCCCGAAGCTCAGTGTCATAAGTAAAGGGCAAGGGCATGGGAAACTGGATTGTCAGATGGGACGTGGGGGAATCGTGGCTGATCGGTCGGCAAACTAGCACTGACACGCTCAATCGCTTAGTGGTTCGTGGCTTCCTCCTCGTCCTCCTCCTGCTCCTCCTCCTCCTCCCAACGAATACTCTCTGCTTGCTCCTGCGGCTGACGCTGCTCGGCCCTACAGGTGGCTGAAACCAGCAGTCCGGCGTTGACTCTTGTGAGACATCGAACCCATCAAGGCCACTGGCGCTCCTCCTCCTGGAAATCCTCGTCCGGTGCCGGCTACTCCAGATTTGAACAGCTAGGAGACTCTCAGAAGGAGGAAGCATGGCCTCCGTCTAGGTTTCCATGCACTTCGCGATCAAGTTCAGCGTGTGTGGAGGGCCTTACTCTCCCTAAAGGGGTCGTCATTCATGGTACTCGCCTTTCGGCCACGCTCCACCTCCTCCTCGCCATCCTCCTCCGCGCCATCCCTCCCTCCACAGGAGAGCCCGCCAGAAAAGGACCCCCTCGCACGGGGCTAGGACGAGGATGAATCCCCTCCAGAGCGTTCCGGAACGCTCTCAGAGCGTTGTGGAACGCTCTGGGAAGGCCACGGCGCACGAGACATCCTCCACCAGGACCCGACAATTCTTTTTTACTCAACGGCCTTGGGCGTTTACGAAACAGCCCCCGCCCTGTTCGGTTCCTTCCGTGGACGCATTTACTGAACGGTCTCGCTTGTCGGGGGGATTCTTATGGGGGGGGATGTTCTGGCCTCTACTGATAGATCCTCGCTCTATGCTCGCCCGAATTGATCCTCGTCCTGGCTTCGTCCTACCCCCCCCCTGTGATGAGAAGCGGAATCGCACTACGACGCGAGCGTGAGGTAGACGTTAACAAATGTGATGCTGATGTTTCTTCATCGTCGCCTTCGCAAATTCAAGCACCCCAACGTTGTGCGCCGGACGGTGTGCATTCCTGTGTGCAGCTCTGTGCGCCCGGCCTGAGCGCCGGCCTGAAGCTTGTGATTGCGAAGTCGGCTCCTGAACAGCACGACTGGGTCATGGACTAGGCCATTCCCCCCCCCCCCCCCAAAAAAAAAAGTTTGTGACTGCGAAGTCGGCTCCTGAACAACACGATTGGACCATGGATTGGGCCATTCCCCCCCCAAAGTTTGTGACTGCGAGGGCGGCTCCTGAACAACACGATTGGGCCGTGGATTGGGCCATTTCCCCCCCCAAAGTTTGTGACTACGACGTCGGCTCCTGAACAGCACGATGGGGCCGTGGATTAGGCCATTCCCCCCTCCCCCCACTTCCTCCTCCTCCTCATCATCATCCTCCTCATCCCCTTCCTCCCTCCCTCCCTCCCTCCCTCCCTCCCCCCCCCCAGCGGCCCGCCGCCAGGCCCGCGAGGAGTTCGTGGCGGCCCTCGCCGAGTGGGCGGGCGCGGCGCTGGGGGCCGCCCGCCCCGCGCCCGGAGGCGGGGCGCGCGCCCCCCGCGGGGG